CAGTTTTCCAGAGTGGTTGGACCATTTTGCATTCCCAGCAGCAATGTAGGAGAGTTCCAGTCTCTCCACATTCTCACCAGCGTTTATTATCCTCTGCATTTTTGAACTTCACTGGTGTTGCTGGTGTGAGATGATCTCTTATTGGTCAGAGACTGAAATAATGAGCAGGCTTCAGAATGGCGACCCTGTTTTATGACACCTAGATGCCTCTGATGTAAAACTTTTCATGACAGGGTTTTCTCTTGAGTGCCAGGCCAAGGGATGGAGTAGACACACTTCCTGGGTGCCTTTTTGCAGTCCCCTATTCTCCAGAGCCCTGAAGGATTTCCCTTGGGCTCCTCCGTTTGGGAGGTATATTTTTCCCTTTGGCAGGCAGTTGAGATACCACTCTATCAGAGTGGTATCACCCAGTACGGTAACTTCTGTCACTTCCACGTGTGTGTGTGTGATATATCTCATATCAGACCATACAGAATCCTTAGTCGATCTTACATCAATTTCAATCAGGATAATTATGTGTGATATGATTTAAAATTGCTTAAGTAGTATTTCTTAGATTATATGAAATATTGACAAAAAATAGTCTTTTCTATACTAAATGACAAAACATTTTATTAGTAACTGAGCAAAAGCCTTTTTTTTTTTTTTTTCAATTTTTCTCCTTTTCTTTCAATGACTTTGCTCTCAAAAAAAAGTTATTGGTGTAAGTTCACAAATACTACTTATCACAATAGGAGGGCTAAAGGACCAGAAAATCTGACAAAACTGAAGACTGTAAGAACAGTGACCGCAAAGAAACCCATCAGTGTAAGCTCGTTGCCAAGTGCACAGTAATGCAGGTGATTCACAGTGTCAGTGTGATTAGGGAATCGTGACAGCTCTGACCAGAGTGCATTAGAATGTTCAAAGAGTAAATTAACACTGAGTTTGAACCATGTAAGTATACTGATATATGTAAGCTGGGCTTATGAAAATGTTTTTGCTGGTAACTACAGGAATATTTTCATAAAAAATAGTAAAATTTTGCTGATTCAGGCTAGCAGCAGCCTTTTGGGCAGTTATTACCTAAGTCATCTTTATTCTCATCATCTGAAACATGAAGCGGCGGAGGAAGTACACCCGAGCATACTGCTGTTCTTGTTTAAGTGCTGTTGAGTCGGTTCCGACCCACAGCGACCCTGCACAGGGTTTCTGAGGAGTGGCTGGTGAGCTTGAGTTGGTGACGTGGTTCAAACTACTTTGCAGAACAGCGCATTAACCCACAGTGCCACACCAGGACTCCTGAGTATAGTAAGCAAGCATTAAATTAGCTAAACCTGGAAAAGCAGTTAAGACAATCCTGGGTGCGTGTTGAGGACCCTAAGTTATTAATCATTTGTTTTTTCAAGGTTCCATTCAGACACAACTTCCTGGCACATGGCAATAAGCGCTTCCAGTGTTTTGTGCAGAAGACCCCATGAGGTTTCTGTCTGCTGCACTGCCATGCTTGGCTTTGAGTTAACTCCTCTGTTAATACTGTGAGCTCTTTCCATCTCGCAGCACTGGACACAATCTAGAGACACAACATGTGTTTGTGGACTAACTGAACACAGTCCCAGGGGCAGAGCAGCACATGACAAGACCCTATGTGAGTCACTGGGTTTCAGAAGAAGGTGCCATTAGGAAGGGATTCAGGGATACGGGTGGGGAGGTTGTGGGCCTTGAATCCTAGGTAGCACGTGTACAGGTTAACACAGGGCCTACTAACCAGTGGAGAAGGCGCTCCAGCCAGAGAATGACCCAGGAGCCAAAGTCAAAAGGACTGTTCTGATAGCTCCCCTTGCTGGCTCAGGGCTGCCTGCATGTGGGTGCGCAGTACTTACACTGGGGGCTGTGGAGCTCTTCTTGCGCTCAGGGATGTCTGCCTTGTTGGGGTTACTGGCATTCCCGAGCATAGGGCTGGCTGGAGCAATCCCCTTCCCTCCAGCAGCACTGCCACCAGACTTCCGGCTGGGGATCCCATCTTCTTTGAGGTCACTATCTGCGGCGCTGGTCTGGCTCCTTTTGGGATATACCACAACAGAAGGAATAGCGGGTCCAGCTGAAATAGAGAGTTTATTTTTTAAAGTCACAGGACAGTTTCACATTCTAGCCAGAGAAAGAAACCTATTTTATGAGCACACCAAAAATGGTTAACAGTTATTCACTTAGAAGCTGTAAAAGAGTGCAAGAAGATCCAGTAAGCTCACGGTTGTTAAGCGCCATCAGGTTGGTTCTGACTCGAAGCAACCAAATATAGACAGGGTTTCCAAGGTGCAGCTGGTGGGTTTGAACCACTGACCTTGTGGTTAGCAATCTAGTGCTTATCCTATTATAGGGCCACATCAGGACTCCAGTAAGCTCACTTGTTGTTGTTGTTAAGTGCCTTCAAGTTGGTTCCGACCCATATGGACCCTGCATAGGGTTTCCTAGGAGCAGCTGGTAAGCTTGAACCACCGACGTTGCAGTTCAAATGACTTTGCAGTCTGGCGCATTACCCCACAGCGCCACACCAGGACTCCAGTAAGCTCACTAGATGTACACAAATCAGGCAGGATAAATGGCTCACTTGAATCTGAGTGAATTGTTTCCTTTTTGTATAAGAGATGCCTTCACCTCAGGACAGAACAGCAGAGTTTATGGACCACTATGGATATTTTGGACTCCTGGTGTGGCTCTATGGGCCAATGAGTCACTGCAAAGTTGTTTAAGCTGCAAGGTCGGTGGGTCAAGCTCCCAGCTGCTGCTTGGAAACCCTATACAGGGTTGCTATGGGTCACAATCAGCTCAAAGTCACTTAACAACAACAACAAAATGGATGTTTTATATCTTGGAGACTTGAAACAAAAACAGAAACAAAAAAACTTTCAAGAAAGAAGTGATTAGTCTCTTCTCTTTGGGGTCGGGGAGGAATTTTATCCAGAAAAGCTCTTAGCAGACTGGGGAGGTGCAGCAGAGGAAAGCGTGTCCCTGGCCTGTGAGCAGCTGGAGGAAGTGGGCAGAGCCCTCGGCACAACCAGGATCTGGGAGGCACTGAGGGTTGCATGGAGCTCAGCAGACCTGACACTTTTAGAATCGGATAACGTGAGCTGTCCTGCAGTGACCTCACAAAAGGGCACTAAATTCTCATTCATTTGAAGGTGGAAGTTGGTTATATTTAATGGGAACTCTATGGGAACTAAATTTAAAATGAATAAGCACTTAACTTTACTAATGGGAGGCAGGCTCAACTTTCCTTATAATGTGAATCGGTAATCTGAATATATAAAACAAATAATTCATCAAGTACAGAATAAAATTACCTTTAGTGTCTTATTTTTCTCTCAATATCGTAAGTCCAATGACATTCTGTACTTTTTGGTTACTGTTTGTTTTGAAACTTACATAACTCATATTTAGGAAACATAAATTAAGATTCTGAGGCTCTGCTAAGGGGTCTGAATTACTGATCTTACTCATGTTTTCACTGGTCTTACATGTAACTCATCTGTCTCATTTGTGTTTTGTTCTATGGATGTTAATTTTACCAGTGTGTGAACCTGTGTGACCAGCAGTCCCTGTTTACAGCCACGGCCACTGCTCTCCCAGCCTAACACCCATATCCCTAACTTCTGTCAGACAGTCACTCTCGCATCTCAACAACGTTCGTTCAAGACGGTCATGTGAATGGAATCATCACGTATTGTTGGGCAGTGAACTACTTCATAAGCCTCTTCTAGTCTTTGTAACTCTCACCAAACTACTTTTCCTGAGTAAGAGAAGGTGGGGGAAAGTTGTTGCTGGCTTATCTGAGTTAGTTGTGAGTGATTGTTAATAGGGCTAATTGTGAAAACTTGGAACTCGAACTTGAGTACAAAATAAGTCATCATCTCAGAGGAAGGCGAGGGGATCACAGTACTATCAGCTAAAGGAGTGGAGTGCGTCCTTTAGCTCCCAAAGATCCCTGTGCACTGACTGACCCTCCTGGACCCAGGACAGAAAGCTGTGGTACTAGAGTGGCAGAGGAACGGCGAGCCAGAGCACATTACACACAGGTAGGCTTCCCAGTTCACCAAGAACTTCTGGCAGAATGGGGCGGCCCCAGGCACTTGATTCGTGAGGGAAGGGCCTAGGTTTGTTGAATCATGGAGCTAGAACCCAGGTTAGAACTCTAGGCTGAGGCTTACGGTGGAGTGGTGTGCCCTGGGGGGTTTTATCAGCGGGCCTTAAAGCTTGGTAGCATTGCCATAGAAGGAGAGAGCAGGCCTCACTTGCTTACTTATATGTAATATTAATGATAGAGAATTTTTAAACATTCTGTTGCAGCACTTTCTTTTGGGAAAGGGCACAAATTATCTCCTCCGGTTGGTTGGCATGTAGTTGTCCAAATTTCTTTCTTTTTTTTTTTTAAACTAAGAGTAAGTCTTTATTAGTTGATTTTGCAAAATCAGGTGTCAAACCCAGAAGACAAGACAGGCAGATGCTCTGCTGTTTTATAAGTGTTCTATATAAGGAGCTCTGGCAGCGTAGCGGTTACGAATTGGGCTGTAAACTGCAAGGTCAGCAGTTCGAAACTACCAGCTGTTCCATGGGAGAAAGATGAGGTTTTCTACTCCTGTAAAGATTTACAGCCTCAGAAACCCTGTACAGGGTCACTATGAGTCAGAACCAACTCCATGGCACTTAACAACAACAAATTAGGAAATACCTAGCTTGCAAATTCCTCCTCGGTTCCTCATTGACTGAGTACTACAGGGTGAACAACCTTCTCAGATGTCGCCCATTTACTTTAAAAAAAAAAAAAAGTTTAATTGTGAATTATGTGAGTTTACATGGGAGAACATTAGTTTTACCTTCATCCTATCGTATATCATTTCATTGCCATGGTTACAATCCCTTCCATGCATCACCAACCAACCAAAGGGTATATACCCTGCAAGCCTGACCCAACCTCTAACCCCTGCCCCACCCCCACCCCCACGGTCAGCACACAGCCCCTCTCCCTCTCTGGGTCTAAAGTCCCCAGCTGCTCCTCCTCTCCAAGTCATCATCTCTGCCTCCATCTCGGGCATCACTGCTTCTCTGGGTAGGGTCCCGCTCTCAGCTCTTCTCCCTTGATGGTTTAAAGGGCCTCCATTCCTAGACTGCAAAGTTAATCACTCCCCTCCTTGCTACAAAACGTCTACCTTTACATTTCCAACCCTCATAATCAGTCCTGATAACAATTATTCACTATTGTATCACAAGAGACCTAGCCACATTTCATTTTATCAGCCCAGCCTAGACAGACTGGATACTACTCAGTGGAGATTCTACCTTCCTCCGTGCCCTCTGGATCTAGGCTCCCTTTTAAAAGCTTGTAAGCCAGTCACGTCTTATCTTTGTAGCCCCCCATTTTGGGTAGCCAATGTCCAAGTTGCCCATCCCTGTCTACTCTGTGTATGGAGGGGATGGGAATGATCCTCGCTGTAAAGATTTGTTTCCTCTTTTGAGCTACTGCATCCATAGGTGTAGGTCAAGTTCATCAAATTGGATCAGATTACTCTTTTTCCCTCTACTTCTTCTAGTTGAACTCTGATCATCCAATCATTGAAGCCAGGTCAAGTGGGTATTATCTGCCAAGTGTGGGTGTTCTTGTGCATATGCCTTCTCTTCTTATCAGCGGGATGCTTCACTCTCCATTCTAGTCCTCTGTGGCTATGTCACTTATGCTGGGTCCAAGAGTCCCCAGGTCTTGCCACACTGCTGGCCAACCAGATCTCACTCCGGGTTCACAGGAGTCTATTGAATGTTGTAGGGCCTAGCTCTCAGCGTCATTACTGTTTTCCCCTCACTTTCCCGTATCGGTGACCAACGTGGTCACCAGTCAGAGTGTGTATTTCCATTGAGTCTTAAGTCTTGGAAGGGGAGTTGTCCAAATTTCTTGACATGAAACGAGTTAAGTGCCTCTAAGCTCTGAATCAGTTTGTTGAAACACTTCATTTGGAATGCTCTCAATTCCTGGAGCCTTGTTTTTCACCAATGCCTTCCATTCAACTGTGGTTTCTTCAATACCATTGGTTCTTGATTAAATGGTTAACTCCTGAAATGGCTAAACCAATTCTTTTGGTTCAGCGACTCTGTATATTCCTTCATTTTTTGATGCATCCAATGTTCAACTGAATGCCCGTGGAATCGCTCAATACTACTACAAGCAAGCTGAATATTGAATTTCTCTTATTTCAGCCTGAGAAATGCTGGGCCCATTTTTCTTTGATTTTCTAACTCATTCTCTTTAGCTACTCTTCGTTCAGGAGCAAGTTTCAGACTCCTTTCTGACATCTATTTTGGATCTTTTTCTTTTCTCTATTTTTAATGACCTTTTGCTTTTCTTCATGTATCATGATGTCTTCTTTGCTGTCATCCCACAACTCACCTAGTCTTCAGTCATTAGTGTTCAATGTGTCAAATCTATTCTTGAGATGGTTTCTAAATTCAGGTAGGATGGAGTCAAGATGGGCTATGTCTTTTGTGAATTTGTTTAAAAATTCTGCTTCATGTTAAAATTGAACAACTGATGATGGTTTGTTCCACAGTCAGTACCCGGTCTTGTTTTGACTCATGCCTTTTTACAGATGTAGTAGATTTGATTGTTGTGTAGTTCATCCAGTGAGGCACATGTGTATGTTGTTGTTAAGTGCTGCTGAAGTGGTTAGAACTCAAATTGACCCTGTGTAGGGCTCCTGAGGAGTCCTGGTGTGGCACTACGGGCTAATGTGTCAGACTGCAAAGTTGTTTGAACTGCAAGGTCGGTGGTTCAAGCACACCAGCTGCTCCTTGGAAACCCTATACAGGGTCGCTGTGGGTCGGAACCGACTCTATGGCACTTCATAACAACAGGGCTCCTGAGGAGTGACTAATGAGCTCACCCTTGAGATTCAAACGACATTATAGTCCAGTGCATTATCCCACAGCGCCACAACACATTCCATTTGCAATGACTAAATCATAGGTCTTGCAAAATTCGATTATGTGATTTCCTGCATTATTTCTATTACCAAGGCCCAATTTTTCCACTACTGATTATTATTTGTGTCCAATTTTTGCATGCCTATCACCAGTAATTACCAATGCATTTTGATTGCATGTTTGATCAATTTTGGACCAGAGAAGCTGATAAAAATCTTCACATTTTTCATCCTGGGTATTAGTGGTTGGTAAGTAAATTTGAAAAATACTCGTATTAACTAGTCTTCTCTGAAGGTGAATAGATAATATCCTGTTAACTTGAGAGCGCTGCAATTCTGGATAGATCTTGAAATGATCTTTTTGATGATGAATGAATGCTGTTCCTCTTAAATTTGTCATTCCTGGCATAGTATGCCACATGATTACCTGTCCATTTCAACTCACTAATACTTAGGATTATCAATTTTTAAATGTTTCATTTCAGTTTTTGACCACTTCCAATTTTTCTATATTCCTATTTGCATCCCATATTCTGACCATTTAACTTCCAGCTGTTCTCATTTTGTGCCATTACACATCAGCAGATGAAGGTTCTGAAAGCTTGACTCCATCTAGGTCATTAAAGTGGACTCCACTTTGAGCAGTTTCTTTCTACTTCAGGGGCTCATCTTGCGACAGTATTATCAGACAAGTTTCCACTGCTATCCATAAGTTATTCAACAGACAATTTTTTTTCAGAAGTAGAATACTAGGTCCTTTTTTTCAATCTATCTTAGTTTGGAAGGTCCCCTTAAATCTGTCTACTATGAGTGAATCTATTGGCATTTGAAATACAAGTGGCATCACCGCAACACGAAAGCTACAACAGTATGACAGACAGATGGGGGTGGTGAGTACATAAATGTGACTCATTTATATGAACTGAAATTTTAAAATTTCCTTAGTTCAAGTGCTCAGTAGTCACATGTGGCTAGCGGGGCTACTCTGTTGGATAGTAGCACTACAGCTCATTTGTCACTATAGAAAGTTCTGCTGGACAGAGCTGCCCTAGGATGGCAATCTGACACAGAAGGGAAAAGAACTGAAAATGACAAACTGACGCCTAACCCATCCTACTAAAAACCTCATGAATTTAGCCCCTGGCTTAGACTTCCTTGGTATTTACATCTAGTACCTTAGGAAGACCATGAGAGAAATGCCCAGCGGGGAAACTGAGCTGGCCTCTCAGCCCTGGTGGCAGAACCACCACAGACTTACCATGGTCACTGTAGCGCCTCTGCTTCTGGCTGGAGGAGATACTTCTCTGAACCTTGTGGTGAGGAGACTGGCCAGTGCTGTTGTTGAGGTCACTGCTCGGCCTAACCTTAGCAAGTGAGAGATTGCTGCTAGAACTGGAATCACTAGCATCCAGCTAAGAGAAAACGAGAAAAACAAGAGCAAACCACAACACGGATCCAAATGGCTCATTAGGATGCCAAACTGGAAGCTTCTCCTAACACAGTTCATTTAGAGGGAGAACTTACACCGTACTAAACGGCGGCCTTCACTCCTCAAAGGAAGTGCACTATGACCTTTGTTCTCAGTAGTCTCAGATAACTTATATGCTATAGCTCATCTGATATTTTAATGATATAAATCAACTTATGAAAGTCAATATTCACCAGTAAGGCTTATTTTGAAGTTAGAAAAATTGTTCCAATAACAGTCACACGAGTTAGATTTGTTATTTGCAAGTAATGTTTAAAATGAAAAACATGTTACATATTAATAAAAACTAAGAAAAGTTTGTAATAAACTGATACTGATAGCTTAATGACTATATTAAGTGTTTCCACTTACCTCTGAAGATTTTCTCCCCAACAACAAATAGGTTGCTGTGACTTCATCATATTTCATTTTACTAAGAGATTCTTGAATTTCTTCTTGTGAATATCCCATTCCCACCATAATATCTGAAATAAGGTTATAAGACAGGTTGTGTGTTTTATTTGGGAAAGCAATAATTTGTTTTAGGTCAAATTCCTTGTTTACACTTAAAAGACCATATAAGCACCAATCTGTCTAGGCGAAGCTGATGAAATGAAATGCCGATGTGTCTTTTGTGATACACTAGTGAATAATTGTTATCAGGACTGACTGTGAGGGTTGGAAACGTAAAGGTACACGTTTTATAGCAAGGAAGGGAGTGATTAACTTTCCAGTCTTGGAGCGGAGGTCCCTAGGACCATCAAGGGAGAAGAGCCGAGAGCAGGACCCTACCCAGAGAAGCAGTGATGCCTGAGATGGAGGCAGAGATGATGACGTGGAGCGAAGGAGCAGCTGGGGACTTTAGACACAGAGAGGGAGAGGGACTGTGTGCTGACCACCGGGGAATAGGCTTGTAGTGTATACCCTTTGGTCGGTTGATGATGCATGGAGGGGACTGTAACCATGCCAATGAAACGATGTACGATAGAATGAATGTAAAACTAATGTTCTCCCATGTAAACTATCATATAATTCACAATAAAACATTAAAAACAAAACAAAACCCACCATACAAGCAGTTACCTTTGTTTCTGACTTACTGGATAGTCACAGGAAACTGTAGGTAAATTCATTAACGTGAGCAAACAAAGCTCGTATACATCCCTTTTCGTGTAAATCAAAATAGGGAATGAAGTAACAACCACAAATACCACACACACACAGACACACAGAGACAGACACCCCAACATGCGGTTGCAGAGAAATCACCTATTCTCTTCTGGTCCGAGATGTCTAGTTCTGGTTCAACAAATGGTTTCAGTTCATCTTCCTCATGCCCTGCATTAATCCATCGGTCCTTCATGATTTGCTGGAAAGGTGAACTGTTCATTAGCAGTATGAAGTAATATCTACAGATAATTGCAGTATTTATAAGAATTTATTTCTTAACATTTGATTAGTTTCAGCTCAAAGGCAAACTGAAGTTTTTTTAATGTCTCCATTACTGCTTAAAGAACCGTAACTTAAAAACCAGAGGACAATTTTCAGCATGCCCCACAAACTAAGCAGAGTTCTAAAAATACTTGCACAACCCTCCGAGGTGGGTCGTTATTGCCTGTGACATGTGTGAGTACCTCTAGCGTGCCTCGTTTGACTGGATTTAGCACCAGGAAACGTCGGAGCAGGTTTTCACAGTCTGTGGACATGTAGAAAGGGATCCTGTACTTTCCTCTTAATACTCGTTCTCTCAGTTCCTTTGAGAAGGGTTGAGAGGAAAGAAACGAGTGAATCAACTTGTAAGTTAAAATAAACCCAACCACTGAAAGTCCCATGCTGACTTGATGTAGCACTACAAACGTGAACCCATATAATAATGATAAAATCGGTTCCATTTTGGAAGGCCATGGATGAAGTGGCTGGCTATACCTTTAGGTTCTGTCCATCGAAAGGAAGTGACCCGCTGACTAGTGTGTAGAGAATGACACCCAGGCTCCACACGTCCACTTCGGGCCCGTCGTATTTCTTGCCCTGGAAGAGCTCTGGGGCCGCATATGGAGGACTGCCACAAAACGTGTCCAGTTTACTGCCAACAGTAAATTCATTGCTAAAACCAAAGTCTGCTATTTTAATGTTCATATCAGCATCTAACAATAGATTTTCAGCCTAGAGGAAAAACATCAAGACAAAATGAAATTTCACCAAAATATAATTGGAATGGTGATAGAATCAGGCATTTCACAAAAGCTTTTTGTAATGATATAATAATATAGACTAATGAATAAACATTCTCCAGAGGGAAAAAACAGGAGATAAAAATAAATTCCAGCACAACTTGAAACATTAAATGCCCACAATCAAGAAAAAGTTGACCTTTTTATAATAAATAAAAGGCTTTATAAAAATATAGGCACTTGGTTTCCTAATACGGCTGGAGAGCTGTAAAATGGCTCTTCTGGGGGAGGGGGAGGTACAAACAGCAGAAGGGTAAAAGTTAGGTCTTTACTGTGTGGCCGCTCTAACCCAGGAGCTCTATTTCAGTGTCTAGATAGAAAATGGAAGGTGTCCGAGAGGAAGTGCTCTCCAAGGCCATGCCTGAAGCAGCACCAGGTTTAGCTGACAGCAGTGGATGCGCTGCATGGAGGGTATTTCAGGAAGAACAGTCTGAAGGCCCACAGCTGGGGTCACAAGGAGGAAAGCTTTGGAGAGAAGACTGGACAGGGCTGCCAGGTTGGAAGCTGCACACTCATGGATGGTTGAACAGGACAGGACAATCCAATGTTTGTGTTTTAAGGCCATGCAGACCACATCAGAGACGACCACGGGAGAGGAAGCAGTGTGCTGGATGCTGCGTGGGAGTTGGGCAAGCAGTGATGGTGACAGTGGTCTCAACCAGGATAGGACCTAGTGATTGGACGACCGGGTAAGGGTGACAGGGCATCCGGGGGGAAGGGCTCAGACTCTGACCCTGTGGAGTCTGAGGCATGCCAGCTGAACCCTGGGTGCAAGCACAGTGCTCTGATGAGATGCGTTTGGAAGCTCCCTCATACAGTGGCCGCTGAAGCTACAGGATGTGGCCCAGACTGGAGCCTGTGTCGGTACTGCCGTGAGAAGGCGGCATGGATGAGGAGCCCTGAAGGGCTGTCTGCCTAAGCAGACAGTGGGACTGCCCAGGGGAGGAAGTGGGACTGTGGGGAAATGAAAGGAGAGTCCATCGAATGCTTCTACATCCTCTGTGAAATGAAAAACCTCATGCTAGGCTGCTCAGGGAGACGAGGTGTTCTGGATTCCCCCTCGTGTGGTTGTGTGAAGATTTCCTCAACAGACCAGTGACCAAATGTACAATACTGCTGATTTTCCTTTAAGGACTCCGTGATGATGGGACTGAGTGCGCGCGCACCTCCTCACCTTGAGGTCTCTGTGAACGATATGCTTCTGGTGGCAGTACTGCACCGCAGACACGATCTGGACAGGAACAGGTAAGGGTGACAGTCAGCGTCAGTGCGACTCACACGTCAATGAATACACTGCACGTTCACACATGCAATATGCTCAGCACGCACTCCGACGGATCTACATGGAGTGCTAAAAACAACGGTCTTGAGCTTTGAACATTTTGGTTCAGATAAATTTAGGGGTGGACGTTCCCCATAGTTTTTCTGGTTTGTGACAGGGAGTTTCTGCTTTGACGGGAGCATGTCTACATCACAGGGCCTGTAGGACCTGGCTTCTCTGCGGCCTCTTCTCCAGGCTTTGAGGAGTAACGGCCACCGCCAGGTAGTGACGGGCTACCTGTGGTCACTTACTCTCCAGGTGAGTGATCCTCTAACCAGTCCGACTGTTGCTGAGGATACTCTTGTGGATTCAAAGCGAGCAATAGGGTCTATCAATTTCCCTTTTCTTAAACTGGAAAAGCAGATGTTGCCATGCCGTATCAACGAGGATCCTTTGATGCAAACCAGGGCTTCACACCACTTTTTCTTGGTTCAGACATGGTTGATGGAATGAAACCAGAACAGACAGAAATTTGTAAAATATGGGTGTAGAGGAAAAATTTGGGTTGATTCTGCTAGAAACTTAATTTCTCTTTGAGACAATCAGGGCAGCGTGTATACTGCACAGCAAACTCAAACTCTTGATGAGCAGAGTTGGAAACGATGGTGCCTGGCTCCGAGGGCTCTACTTTGCATACGTGTAGCTTTCCACAGTCCTGGCCATAACCCAGTCCTGGCACCAGGCTTCTGAAAGGGGTCATGCCACCTCTCCGAGTCTCCTATTCCAGAGCTCAGACCATTCTACTGACTGTTTCAAGTACACTCACATTTCACAAATTAGGGTCTGCTCTGATTTTGCTGGATTGGTCATGACTGAACTAGTTAGAAGCCCTATAGCAGTGTGTTTTTAAATTAGACAGTTGTGGCAGTTCAAACTCACCAGCCACACCTTGGAAACCCTACACAGGGTCGCTGAGTCGGAATCGACTTAACACCACCAACAAATTGCTCTTGTGGCTGGCAATATTAATGGAACAATGGTTTTACTGAAATTTCATACTTTTTAGTAACTTTTAAAAGTGTGCCTTTTCTGATTATAAAAGTTCTATGCTCGTTAGAAACATTTTAGGAACGAAAGAAGATGAGGTTCCAATGAAAACACTATTTTCTCCAAATCATTGCTAACTCTTATTGAAAACCACCTAGGCTCGACTTTGCTGAAACTCAGCCTCCGGGAAGGCAGCTAGCTGCACATTACTAGTGTGCTGTTTGGTTCTATATACGTAGCAAGGAGGTGAGATGGAGCAAAGATGAAATGATGTCCAAATCCGAGTTTCATTAAAAAGCTTCATTACTCTATGTAAAACGAATATTCAGAAGATCAGGCCAACTTACGCTTAACTAAAGGTATAAACATTGCAACAAGTCAGGATATAATTCCTAAAGCACCAGCTATTGTTACTACTTAGGCTCATCACTATTGTTGTTATAGTCTGTAAACAAGACAATTCAGGAAGTGAAACAACTCTGGTTACTAAAACAAAGTTTGGGTTTGTTCAGTAAATTTTATCATACTGCTTCATGAGCCAACTTTTTTTCCTCTTCCCATTTATGATTAGTTTTTCTCCTGTGGAAACTTCCCTGGTAGGTTAATTTCAAATTCCTTTGAATCAGATTCAACAATTTCCTGCCCTTTCTCAAAAAGATCAAAGCTAATCTGATTCCACAATAACTCCAAAATAACCTACTTTTAAGCCAGAAGCAGTTGCTTCTACAGAGAACTAACGGCACCAGCAGGACACTGATAACAGTATTACCAACCTACCAAGAAAGAGGTGGAGTGAAGACCAGTGAGCCAGAAACCAATGATTTTTCCTTTGAAAAAAGCAAGAGCTCAAGTAAAAAGCAGAAACTGCCACAAATGAAGCCCCCTGTGGATGGACACTGAGAGACCAGCCTGCTGTCAGAACTTGTCAATGTGCAGTGTGTGTGGCAGGCCTCACTCCGAAAAAAGCAGGAAAATATTTTGGAGCTAAGTGACAACAATGACTTATAAGTTCCTGGAAGGCATGACAATTAGAAGTCACAAGTGGAAACACAGGCTCATGCTTGGTCCTTCTAGGTTTAAATGAACTGCCCCTGTGGACTACCATGGCTAGGATAACTGGCCACCCTATAAATCATGTCATAATCATAAACACTCTCTTCTCCTGGTTCAAACCACAGGTTCCGCAAAGCTCTCAGAATTTCTGCAGAGAATGAAAGTCACAGTTGCAGTGATTTCCTCAGTTGGGTCCTGCCGGGGGTGGGTGAGGGGGGGTGGGTGGAGGCAGTGGGAAAGGAGAGGGGCAAGCACAGGCCCCACTGTTGCCAGCTGACACATTTTTCCTCATGCCCAACACACCACATTCATATCAAAGTTTACGAACAGACAGAGTCACCCAAGTGGGAAGGGATTTAGACTGCATGAGGAAAATGACCTTGGCTTCTAGGTGGCCAGTTTGTAAAAATTCAGGGTACGCTTATGGAATGGGTCAAACGGACTCAATTTGTAATAAAGAGAAATTTGCGTTTCCTTCCACAGACCACACAACTTTAGAACTGGGTAAGACGTTAAAGAACTCGTCAAGAACTACTTCACTCACTTCATGGCTAGAACTGAGGATCAAAGAAGCCAAGTGACTGGCCGAAGTCATTCAATTTTGATATTTAAGACGTTTGAATTCAATATGCCATTAGTACTTCTTCAGTTGTTTTTCTTAAAAGTACTTTTTACATGCTTTTCAGTTAAATTTAGGCAACAGCCAAAGTTAAGACACTTAGATAAATGATTGAGCACACAGCTGGACTGAGCAATCCAGCAGTGCAGGGGCAGCATGAAGGAAAACCTGAAACTTGGTTTGGCAGGAAACATGCGAGATTCGTTTCTCTACCCTGACTACCTACCTGACAGCCAAGGAGTTAATTCCAACTCCCAGTAACCCAGGAGGACAGGGGAGAACTACAGGCTTTCAGCCTAAAGGTTTCTTCTGCACAGGGTTTCCGAGATGGGACTAGAATATCTTGTCTTTCTCCCACGGCAAGGCTGACAGGTTCCTGCTGACCTGGCTCGTGGTTAGCAGCCCAATTCAAAACCCAGCAGGTCACCAGGGCTCCTTGACACACTGACCGGTGAGCAAACAGTTAAAGATTCTAAGAATAAGGAATTATTCAATGGAAAACTGATGTGCTTAGTACATTTTCACCCACTTTACAATAAAAAGAAAAGGAAAAAAAAAAGGTGGCACTACCATTTAAATGCAGACTTCATAGTAGCCTTGGAAGGGCAGCTAGTTTACAAGTCATAAAGTACCTGCTCCATCCTTTCATCGCAGACAGGGGTCAGTGACTGATGGCTCCCAGGCCAAATCCAGCTCTCTGTCTGGGTTTGTAAAGTTTGATTGCATACTCATTTGTGTAATGTCTGGCCATTTTTGCAATGTAACAGTACAGCTGATTGGCCCACAAAGCCTAAAACATTGGCCAATTCCTAGTCTAAATAATAGGAGCTCTGGTAGCGTAGTGGTTACGAATCGGGCTGCAAACCGCAAGGTCAGCAGTCTGAAACTACCAGCTGTTCTGTGGGAGAAAGATGAGGCTTTCTGCTCCTGTAAAGATTTACAGCCTCGGAAACCCTGTACAGGGTCGCTATGAGTCGAAACCGACTCCACGGCACAGAACCACCACCACATCATGATTAAGAATCTGAGTTTGAGAGCCAGAGGAGGTGGGTTTCACTATATGATGGCTCTGCTACTTGAAAGGCATGAAATGGAGTGTATCCCTCCGAGGCCTTTGCTATAAAAACAGTGCAATGATGAAAATACCTCAAGGGAGGAAGGAACCATTGGCAAACAAACCAAGAAGGCTCCATCTTCCTGTGCCTCAATTCCCTTATCTATAATATGGGTATTAAAGCCCCAAGCCAAATCCACTGGTGACTCCTAGTTACCCTACATTGTTGAGTGGGTCCCGACTCATAGCAACACTCTGTATATAGAGTTTTTAAGGAGCAGCTGGTGGCTTTGAACCTTGCAGTCCAGTGCATTCTCCAGAGGGTTGAGGAGGCTGTGACTCTCTATGGGAGCACTCAGTCTCATCTTTCTCCCTCAGCGTGAGTGACTGGCAGGGTTGGTCTACAAGACTGCTGCATGAGTCGTATTAATGCAGGTCTGGCACGAAAGAACAATGAAAACAGTCCTTCACTGCCCTGATTTGACTGACTCACAGTGACCCTTTAAGACAAAGCAGAGCTGCCCCACAGGGTGCCAAGGCTGTAAATCATTATGGAAGCAGACTGTGACTTCTTTCTCCTATGGTGTAGCCGGTGGGCTTGAACCACCAACCTACTGGTTAGCAGCCAAATACTTTTAACCAATGCACTACCCATTCTCCTTAGTTAACAACATAATCATTAATAGGAGTCCTGGTGTGGCGCTGTGGGCTACTGCATCAGACTGCAAAGTTGTTTGAATTGCAAGGTCGGTGGTTCAAGCACACCAGGTGCTCCTTGGAAACCCTACACAGGGTTGCTATGGGTTGGAATCGACTGGACAGCACTTAACAACAACAACAACAACAATCATTAATAAAGCCAGTAGTGTTAATGCTGAAAGCCTTCTCTTTAAACAAGTGTCTCTCTAGGCAGTGCAAGGCCTATCACTAAGAGGCTGAGCTGTATTTGGTCTTGGTTTCTGTAGGACAAAATGTATACAGAAATCTGGGATGCTGGCTCTCTCTTTGATAAAAAGTGCTAACAATGTAAAAAGTTCAATCACTTTAACCACAGGAGGTTTTGAAAGGCTTGACTATCACACCCTGAGGTCAAGTCGTAGGAGACTAAAGTCACAGTGACAAAGCTGAGTGGGCCCATGGCTGCCTTCAGCACAGTGCCTTGTGCTGAAAGGGATCAATATGGTTTTGAACTAAATGGACAAGCCTTGCTCCATCTAACAGGCTCCTAAAACATTAACAGAATAGCAATTCAAATAACATCATTTAATTCATAAGCTTAAAGGTGTTGTTATTCATACCTGTCTAAATTTAGCTCTTGCTTCTTTCTCCTTCATTCTTCCATGTGCAACCAAATAGTCAAACACTTCACCTATAATTGAGAAAAATCAAAGTCAGCAGAAGTCTCACTGCTGAGAATCGGCTTTCCCACAAATTGGTAATGTTTCTCTTTTGGCAGTGTTTTCATTTTTATTTTTAAAATACAGCCAGAGAAATGTAAAGTTTGAGTTGATATAGCCCTTAGTTTACTGCTAGACATTTAAAGTGATCAATTCTTTAAGAAAGAGAAAAGCCTTACAATTAACTTCCAAATTTAAACTGAACGAAAACGGAGCAGTAGAACCTGACAGTTGAGACGGGCCCATTATTAGTGTTAAAGAGGTGCCCTGCCGGCAAGACAGTGATGAAGAGTCATCTCCTGAGCAGTCAGTCAGTCCACAAAGATTTATGGAACATCTACTAAAGTATCAGGCGCTGTTCTAAGCCTGGGGACATACTGCAAGGAATGAAACAAAACCCCGTTCCTCACAGAGTTTACACTCTGGTAGGGAAGGACAGATAAACAAGGGAACACACAGTCTATCAGATAAAAAGTACTGTGAGGGGAAAACAGAACAAGAAATGAGTGCACTTGCATGCGTGCGTGCGTACATAAAGAGCTGCGTGCGTACATAAAGAGCTGCGTGCGTACATAAAGAGCTGCGTGCGTACATAAAGAGCTGCGTGCGTACATAAAGAGCTGCGCTGCTGCTGACTGCTGGGGGAGTGAGCAGTGCACTCCTCTGGAGGAATAAGTAGTTGGAGAAGCGGGAGCGGGGGCCCGATGGGTGAGGGGAGAGAACATCTCAGGAGTCCTGCAGCCTCCAGAAGCGGGTCTAGAGCAGAGATGCATGTGCAGCTCTGCTGTCGGGGGAGGGGTGTGGGGCTTGAGCAGGGTGGGGAGAGCATCGTGAGACACTGCATCCATCACTAGAGCGGACTCAACTCTGGCTGGACCAGAGTGGGAATGTGGTGTGAAGGGGTTGGGATCAGGAAACAGTGTGACAGCAAAGCCAGCAGATGCCGCAATGGATGTTAAGTACACTTAGGTGGTAGCTTCAAACTATGGCAGTCAAGGTGATTCTCACTCCTAGCATAGTGATCCCACAGGACAGGCTAGAACTGGTCCACAGGATTTCCAGAGGTTTCACAATCCTTTCTTTATGCCAACAGAGTACCAGACCTTTCTCTCATGGAGTTGTGGGTGGTCTCAAACTGCCAACCTTTTAGTTAGCAACTGAGCGCTTAACCACCGTAGTGGTGAGGAATCGGGCTGCAAACCACAAGGTCAGCAGTTCAAAACTACCAGCAGTTCTGCAGGAGAAAGAGGAGGCTTTCTGCTCCCGTAAAGACTTACACCCTTGGAAACCCTGTGCAGGGTCACTATGAGTCCGGAATTGACCCCTCGGCACACAGCCACAGTCACCAGAGCTCCTAGGTGGTAGTTTTGTTGTTAAGTCCTTCGAGTTGGCGCTGACTCATAGTGACCCTATATAGGGATTTCAAGGCTGTAAATCTTTGCAGGAGCAGAAAGCCTCATCTTTTTCTCAAAGAGCAGCTGGTGGGCTTGAACCGCTGAACTTGTGGTTTGCAGGCCAGTGCTTATCCTAGCACTCCCTCAGGTGGTAGCTCATTGTTTTTAAGTGCCGGCAAGTTTGCTCTGACTCACAACGACCCTACATAGGGTTCCCAAGACTTCAAAACAAAACGATAAAAACAACTTTACGGGAGCAGAAAGCCTCATTTTTCTCCCAAGGAGTGACTTAGGGGCTTGAACTGCTGACCTTACGGTTTGAAGTCCTGTGCTTATCCTATGGATATACTTATACAATGTTAATTCCCTGGGGGAACACTTCAGGGAATGTATTAGTACTGTCAATTGCTTATCAATTTAGAATAATAAAACAACACCTGGTAGTATTTATAAAATTTTGATATTAAATGTTTCTGTATCAAAATTTTGATATTAAAAGTAAAATAGCATGCCTACTTAACACAAATAAGGCATACATCACCAGCTTTGTGACAATACTGAACTAAAATCTATTTTTACACTTGAAACAGAACACAACTAAGTTAATTTTAAAGAGTCCATCTAAATTGCATGTTGATATTTCTGTCTTTTAAACTGTTAATTTTAACTCTGAACAACTGGATTGAAATACATATTTTTAAAAGATAGCATAATCTTTGGAAAGGCATTACATATTCAGTTTAAACTCCACGATGAAGAATTCTGAAGTTAAATGTCATAGTAAAATTTCTAAGTTAATGTTGCAAAACAGGATGCACAATGTCAAATGAATGGTCAATAGATGAAAAAAAGATACGTGCATATCATATCAAAAAGTTTCAACTTGTAAAAAATTCAAGGGTGAAATCCATTAGATACTGTGAAATTGTTGTTGTGTGCCATAGAGCCAGTTTCGACTCATGACAACCCTGTGTAGGGTTACTGAGGAGTGGCTGGCGGGTTTGATAGACGTTTTAATTTTTATTAAGTTCATACAATTTGCTGTTGCTAGGTGATGTTGAGTCGGTTCCAACTCATAGCAACCCTATGCACAACAGAACAGAACACCAACCCTGTCCTGTGCCATCCTCACAACTGCTGCTATGCTTGAGCCCACTGTTGCTGCTACGGTGCCAATCCATTTCATTGGGTGTGGGGGGGTCTTACTCTTTTGACTGTCCTTCCATTTCCCCTTCTCCAGGGACTGGTCCCTCCTGACAAGTCCACAGTATGAGACAAAGTCTGGCCATCTTGGCTTCTAAGGAGCACTCTGGTTATACTTCAACACAGATTTGTTTATTCTTCTGGCAGTCCGTGGTAATTCTTAAATTCTTCTCCAACACCATAACTTCTATGGTCTTTTTTATTAAAGAGGTCTTGTACAGCAGATATGCCTACTACAATATGTAGTTTAATTTCTTGATTGCTGCTTCCATGAGTGTTGATGGTGGATCCAAGCAAGATGAATGAAGTCTTTGACAACTTCAATCTTTTCTCCATTTATGATGTCATTTATTGTTCCACTGGTGAGGATTTTTGTTTTCTTTTTAACATCAACCCATACTGAAGGCTGTGGTCTTTGATCTTCATCAGTTAAGTATTGTTAAGTCCTCTTCGCTTTCAAGCAAGCAAGGTTTTATCATCTGCATATTGCAGGCGCTAATGATTCTTCCTCCAATCCCTATGCCATGTGCTTCTTCATATAATCCAGTTTCTTAGACTATTTGCTCAGCATATAGGTTGAGTTAAGTGCGGTAAAACAATACAACTGTGGTAACAAACCCTTTCCAATTTTAAACCACTCCGTATTCCATTGTTTTGTTTGAATGACTGCCTCTTGGTCTATGTACAGGTTCCTTGTGAGTACAATTAAGTGATCCGGGATAACCATTCTCCGCAGTGTTGTCCACAGTTTATAATGATCCACACAGTCGAAAGTCTGCATAGTGAATAAAATACACGTAAACATCTTTTTGGTATTCTCTGCTTTTAGCTAGAATCCATCTGACATCAGCAATAATATCCCTTGTTCCACATCCTCAACTGAGTCCAGCTTGAACCTCTGGCAGTTCCTTGTCAATGTACTGCTGCAGCCATTTAAAAATGATCTTTAGCAAAATTTTACCTGCAAGCAATATTAATGATATTGTCTGATGATTTCTGCTTTCCGTTGGGTCGCTTCTCTTTGGAATGGCACAAATATGACCCTCTAGCTGTCTTCCAAATTTCTTGGTCTAGATGAGTGAGTGCCTCTAGAGCTACATCACTTTGTTGCGATTTCTACTTGTATTTCATCAATTTCTGGAGCTTAGTTCTTTGCCAATGCCTTCAGTGTAACTTGCTTCTTCCTTCAGTACCACTGGATCTTGATCATATGCTACCTCTTGAAATGACTGAACATCGACCATTTCTTTTTGGTACCATGACTGTGTATTCTTTCCATCTTCTTTTGATGGTTTCTGCATCATTCAATATTTTGCCCAAAGAATCCTTTCAGTATTGCAAGAGAGGACTATTTTCCCCCAGTTCTTTCAGCTTAAGAAATGCTTAGCGTGTTCTTCATTTTTGGTTTTCTAACTCTAGATCTTTGTACATTTCATTATACTATTAATTGACATTGTCTTCTTGAGCTGTTCCTTGAAATTTTCTGTTCAGCTCTTGTACCTCCTCACTTTCCCATTTGCTTTAGCATCTCTATTCTGCAGAGCAAGTTTCAGAGTCTCTTCTGGCATCCATTTTGTTTTTTTCCTTCTTTCCTGTCTTTTTAATAACTTTTTTGCTTTCTTCCTGTATGTGCTCTTGATGTCATCCTACAATTCTTCTGGTTTTCGGTCATCAGTGTCTAATGCATCAAACCTGTCCTTGGGATGATCTCTAAATTCAGGTGGGATATGTTCAAGGTCATATTTTGGCTCTTGTGGACTTTCAATTTTCTTCAGCTTCAGCCTGAACTTGCATATGAGCAGCTGACAGTCCATTCCACAGTCTCTACCCCTGTCCTTGTTTGCTTATTCACCTCTTGTTCCACAAATGTAGTCAATTTGATTTCTGTGTATTTTATCTGGTGACGTCCATGCGTATAATCATCTTTTATGTTGTTCAAAAAAAGATATTTGCAATGAATATGACACTGGTCTTGAAAAATTCCATCATGTGATGTCCAGCATAATTTCTATCACCAAGGTCATACTTTCCAACTACTGATCCTTCCTCTTCGTTTCCAACCTTGGCATTCCAATTACCAATAATTATCAATACATTTTGATGGCATGCTTGATCAATTTCATCATACTGAAGAAATTGGTAGAATTCTTCAATTTCATCCTCACTGGCTTTAGTGACTGATGCATGAAATTGAGTAATAGTGGTATTTACTGGTCTTTCTTGTAGCTGTATGGATAGTATCCTATCACAGCCAGCATTATACTGCAAGATAGATATTGAAATGTTCTTTTTGATGATGAATGCGATGCTATTCCTCTTTAGTTTGTCATTCTCGGCACAGTAAACCATGTGCTTGTCAGATTCAAAATGGCCAATACCAGTCTATTTCAGCTCACCAATGCCTAAGATATTGATGTTTATGTGTTACATTTCATTTTTGACAACTTCCAATTTTCCTAGATTCATACTTCATACATTACATGTTCCAATTATTAATGGATGTTTTCAGCTGTTCTTCCTTATTTTGACTTGTGCTCCATCAGCAAATAAAGGTCCTCAAAGCTATACTCCATTTGCACCATTATGGTCAACTCTTACTTTGAGACAGCAGCTCTTCCCCTGTCATATGTGAGTGCCTTTCAACTTGCGGAGCTCATTTTCTGGCACTATATCTGACAATATTTATGGCGCTATCTAACCATGTTTCATTACTAATTCATAAGGTTTTCTGTGGCCAACCAACCATTTGGCAGTGGCTCATCTATCCTTCTGTCAATTCTTAGTCTGGACGTTCCACCATGGGTGACACTACCAGCATTCAAAATACTGGTGGTATAGTTCCCAGCATCACAGAAACAGGCAAGCCACCAGAGTGTGACAAACTGATAGATTGGCATTGGTCAAATACAATACAAACCTCCCAATACAATCAACATTGAAAGGAAAGTTTTAGGGGCCATAAAGTTACTCTCAGTCTCTCAGTTACAAATCAGAAATTCAACCCTGGTCTTTCTCTCTTTTTTACCCCTTATTAAAAACTTATCACTCTCAGATTACACAGTTGAACGCAAAACCTCTAAAGGGTATTAGACCAAAAAAAGCACAAAGTAGCTCTTTGTGCTCAGGCCCTGCTCGGGAGCAATTCAGGGTCACTGTTGTTTATCGGAAAGACCCCTAGAACATTCAGTTCAGAAAGCCCTGGGCTCTGTCTAATACAGGTCCTGCCCTAGCCAGTTAAGGAATCTCTGGCATAAAACCACATCTGTGGGCTTTAGTTTCATCTGCAAAAATTAGACAGTTATCATTGATGATTTCTAAGATTCCTCCCAATTTTAAATTTCTGTTTCTAGCTAATTAAATGAATCAAACTGGGGACAATGAAACCATTATTGTTCACAGTGACAAATGTCTTTCCCATGGTCCATCCTATTTCTACCAAAACGGAATGCTTTTCAGATGCTTCTGTCTCCCCCTATAACCTGGGTACCTAAGACAACCGCGAACAGGAGCTGTGACTAACTGACCCATCGGGAGAGGGGCTATGGTAGCCAGGTGCCAGAAGTCAGGGGCTCCAGGCCTTCAGTGACCAGGGGAAGATTTCCTTGAGGCCCATCTTATTCCCCCTCATGGCCTGGGACGTTCACAGGGGCTCAGGAGTGACGAGACTAGGAACATTACTCGAGTACAGAGCACTAGAAGGCCACAGGAATAGTTTGTTCTGCAATTAACTGTCAGTGCTCCTACAACCCCTCGATTCTGAAAATCCTACCTAAATCTCCAAACCACACATTTAAAATGTAACACAATGTGTCAGGGGCATGGAGAAGTCACGTCAGAGGGGGCCCACTACAGCTTCTATTACCTCACTATGGGCTTACACTCTCTTATTTAAGGCCTTAACATTCATGACAATGAGCATGTGGTTTAACCTTGAGCAAATTGTTCATATAGGAACATAAAACTGCTCGGCTGGAGTGATAACTAGGATGTGTCCACAGACATTTATCATTTCATAAATTCAGCTCGATTCAAATTTGTTAAGTATCTGCTATATGTCTGGCCCTCTACTAGTGGCCAGGAACGCAAAGAGAATACCTGGTCTCCAGCAGATTTGGAACTCAGGGCAGATCATGAGACTCACACGGTCACACATGATAAGCTTGGTCCAAACATACACCTCTTTAATTTATATATATTTAAATGCCATCGAGCCTATAGAGGGTCTCATGGAGGAGCTGATAGGTTAGAATTGCCAGCCTTGTGGTTTGTAGACCAATGCTGATTCTAGAGTGCCACCCCAGGAATAAACATACACATATACACACACTTTAATAGGCACTTCAGAAAAAGTCTACGTTTAAACAAACTTGTGGGAAAATCACTCTGCTTGCTGCTGCTGGCTGCCACTGAGTCAATTCGGACACAACGTGATCCTAAGACTTTTCTAGACTGCCATCTTGACAGAAGTGGATCACCAGATCTTGTTCCCGTGGGCAGAGTTGGAGCAGCTTCAACTATTTTGGGTAGCAGTGGAGAGTTTAACCACTACACCTCTAGGGCTCCTTTGGCAAATTAGCACTCAACCTAAATCTTTTAGGATCCTGGTATGGCACTGTAGGATAAGAATTAGACTTCTACCCACAAGGTCAGTCATTAAAGCTCACCAGCCACTTGGAACTCCTAAACAGGGTTGCTATCAGTCAGAAGCAACTTAATGCCACTTAACAGCAGTAACAACAACCATATATACTAACTCTAACCATCATTTCTGGTCTCGGAAAACCTAGGCATCAATGACATAACCGATGGCCATATTTATCAAAAACAGGCCATACATTAATGTATTTTTAAAACTGAAGTATTTAGATATCATCAATTAATAATGCTAACAGTGAAATACTTTATGATGACCCACAGAATTGCTAAGGAGCCTCACTCCCTGACTCATAGGCTAGTGTATTATGACTGTGTCCTTAGCAAGGACACATATGGACAATGTGTTTGTTACATTCTCTTGGAAGAAAGAAAAGCCCAGCCCAACATACAGAAATGGTCTTACCTCCACTTGCATATTCCATGATTAGGTAGAGGGTTTTTTCCGTTTCAATGACTTCAAATAGTTTCACTGGGGGAGGGAAGAAATGAAGAGAAAAGAGAAAAGAGACAGAAGTCTGAATGCATATACTGGGCACATACACACTCAGCTATAAAAACAATCTTAGCAGCTGGTCTTTTACAACAATGCTTGAAGGCATTACAAACAGACGAGATTTTATAGAAGAAAGCGTGGAGTCCCATAAACCAGAAGATGATCCGTGGGTGTTCAAACAGTTGTCACGTCCTGGCAAACCCCAGTGTTCCTGCTATTTCCCGTCACCCTTGTCCCTTCCGAGAACTTCATCCTACAGCAAGGCAGGCCAGGCCCTCAGTCTTCAGTCAAGCTGCAGGGGGCGAGGGGTCTGCTCTGGTTCTGCTTTCTGGGCACTGACCACAAGTCCCCCAAAAGGGCTCCTTTTTTGACTACTCTGAAGCCCAAAAAGGAAAGAAGAAGGAGGGATTGATTACAGTGCAATTAACTAGAAATAAATTTTGAAAAATATTTCATTTTCAATGGTTCAGTGCAACTTGCTATAACAATCCCTTGTTGGAATTAGAAATAATATTCCTATTACTGCTAATTTATAAAATCAATTAAAAATTTACATATTTAAAAATGAAACGGAGGTAACTCCGACGCTATCAAGTAATCATTTCACACATCTATTTTATTTGGATAATATGAGTTAGACTTACAAAAAATAAAAATGTGGGCAAGTGCTAGGCTTCCTATTGCCAGCTATTTTCTGAGGCCTTAATGCAGTCAATTCCGACTCACAGTGACCCCACAGGGCCGAGCAGAACTGCCCAGTGGGCTCCCAGGACTCATCTTTATGGGGCCAGATAGCCAGGTCTTTTCCCTCTTAGAGCTGCTGCTGAGTTTGAACCATTGACCTTTCAGTTAGCAACGCAGCACGTAACCACTGTGTCACCAGAGCTCCTTCAATGCAGTCTTGAGACGAGTAAGTGCCCAGCCCACGAGTTCATCCATAAATACATCAGCTGACCTGATGATTCAAACGCTGTATCATTTCTTAGACTTTGATCCATTCAGATTGTCAGGAAAAACTATTTAAAGAAAGTTAAGGCATATATGTACTAGTAAACATTAAACATATAAATAAAACTCTTCTAAAAGCTAACACAAATACTGGCTCTTCTAGGAGAACTATTGGAGTGTAAATAGAATTTTAAAAAAGTTATATACAATATCAAAGACATGTTATTTAGTAGTAAGCAGAGAACTCTGAAAATAATTGGGGCCCAACTTTGGAACTGACTGGACAGCAATGGTTTTTAATTACACACAATGTTCGCCAACACTGCTGAACTCAGGATCACTAACAGAACCACAGGCAGTGACACAATTCTGACCCCTATGGGCCCTGAGGAACTTTCTGAGGCTGTGAATCTTTACAGGAGTACACAGCCTCAGCTTTCCCCCGAGGAGCTGGTGGGTTTGAACTGCCCATCTTGTGATAAGCAACCCACTGCTCATCCTATATTGCCACCTAGGTCTCGGATATTGAGATGATAGCTTCTTACAATTATTGGTAGTGTCTTCCTTGTGTATCAGAGAGAAATGGGCTCCCACCGTTTTTCAGTGGTTGATTTTCCAGAAGGAGATCACCAGCCTTTCTTCCAAGGAGCCTCTGGGTGGACTCCAAACACCAACCTTTCAGTCAGCATCCCTACGGTTACATGAAACTTTTGCCCTTTATAAGGATGGTCATGTGTTAAAAATGGGTCTAAGTCCTTTGTACATATGCAATCAAGATAAGCTCCATATAAAAGCTTCATTGCTCCTAAAGTCATTCAGATCAGTTCCGACATATCACCCCTACTAATTCCTAGTCAGGACTCTTAATGGTAAACTGACATACTTGGTTGTGTAAAGAGAGATTTCACTCTTGTAGGTGTTACCAATGCATTAAAAATGCAGCTGTATCATTTAACGAGAATTCTATTATGATACACATGGGATCAAAGGATGTCCCTGGGCAGTATATACAACGGGACCAATACGAATGTGCATGCTTTCCTCTTGTTTCTAGTTCTGTTCTGGCAGGACTGTGGCCCTCTCTCATCTCCGTCTGCTCAGAGCACCAGCACAGAGCTGGGCACATAGAGGGCTCAGAAAACAAGTGTCAACACAATTCACACCAGCTTGCCATTAGAGAGCTAGTACCCTTAGCTCTTCAGCTGTGGTTGACCATACATATTTTTTCAGGTGTGCAGCCATAGCAAAAAGAGGTACACCTTTGAAAGTCTTAACTCTGGGCCTTACTATAATTTCTTCATTGATTAGTTACACAGGAGGGTAAGTTAGAAAGTATTGCTACTAGGGTTCCAGTTCACCCTTGCAAAGGTTTATTCTAAAGAAAAATGTGTTTGAACACATCAGAGGGCGGTTACCAAGAAGTTCTCTCAGTTACACACTTGACTTGGTCTCGTTAGGGTGCCTTAAAAAAAAAAAAAAGTGGCTTCCTAAAGGAACAGACAGGCCAGTGAAATTCAAGGTCAGCCCAAAAGGTTACAGTGTGGCAGGTATAGTCTTGATATATTTTCTCAAAAGTCAGGCAAAACTTATTCTGAAGAAGTGTTAAGAAAATTGAAAACATCACTGGTGAGAGACAGGTCAGAAAACTTGTGCCAAGAAACTTTTTCCCGTTGTGACAATGCACCTGCTTATTCTTTGAGGATAATAAGGTCTGTCCTATCAGAATTTCATTGGGAAACCTGACTGCACCCACCTTACAGCCCTGATCTTGCCCTTTCAAACTATCCCCACCACCACCCAAAAAAAAAAACAAAAAAAAACCACTCACAGAACGAGATCTGAGTGAGTCTCTTGAGGATGCAAAAACTGCTGTTCTGACATGTGCAATCCCAAGAGTGCACCATTTTTGGGCGAAGGTTGAGAGGTGGAAACAGCCCCTGCACAAGTGTATGCACTTGTATGAGGACATGGCAAGATCAACAGCTTCAGATTTTCATAAAAGTTTCTATGATTTTGCAGCAATACTTTTTGATTTGCCCTTATAAGTGCAGTTTACTTATATGATGTGGTGGTGGTGGTTATGTGCCACAGAGTCAATTCTGACTCATAGCGACCACAACCCTGTATGGGGTGGGTTTCCAAGGCTGTAAATCTTTACAGGAACAGAAAGCCTCATCTTTCTCCCAAGTACCCGTTGGTAGTTTCGAACTGCTGACTGATCATGCCTAGCATATTAAATTATAAGAAAAATTTGTGACTGATTATGGATGCTTCTATTGCATTAAAGCTTTAGAGTTCACATACTTGATATCTAAGCTTTAACCATCTTCAGAAATTTCTACAAGCTAGTTTAAGTGATCAACACCTCACACAGATGTAGTTTATTACAAGTGTACCTGGGCTTGCGGAAGGGAAGGAATCTCTTCCTATCACTCCTAGCACACAAGTTGAGCTTTATGACATACTTTCAAGAATGCACTTAGGACCCAAAACAGTATGTAAGAAAGTAGAAAGTACCTATATTTGGATGGTTTAAAATCTTCATTATTCTTACTTCTCTGAAGAGCTAAAAAAAAGCACACACAATTCCCCAACACAAGTTATTAAACATTACATTCCACTGTTGCAATAAAAAATTCAATTTCTCTTAGATAACATTCATTGGAAATGTTTACTCATCCTTATCTAAGACTAATCTGCAAGTCTGGGCTAACTCTGAAATAGTTTCTAACCCATTACCTAATAGTACTGCCAAATGCATCACTTTTTATATTATAAAAAATAGAGAGGTCTCATAGAGGATGATGATGCTACAATTTCAATCTTATTTTGCTATCCTGAAGAAGTACTATCAGACTTAGCAAGAACACTCTATGATTAAACAGCCTGATTTAGCCGTGTCCAACCAGGCATTCAGTGAGTCAAACTTGGATAGTTTGACATCACTATGTGAAGAAGTTGGTTTAACCTCTGAAATCCCAAGTAGAGAGAGGCCCCAATGTCCCAGTAAGTCTACTGTCCACCTCCTGCAACCCATCAGCTGGATGCTGAGGTGAGACCACCCACCCACCCCACAGAATGAGAAGGAATGATAAAACCACAGAGTAAACAAGTGCTGTGAATTTTGAAGAGTGTCAGATCATTACTGCCTGGTCTCACACACAAATTTTTTTTTCAAAATTACAGAATCCTATAGGCCACCTCACTCAATGCTCTTGCAAAGAAGAGAGGGAAAGATCTCCCAAGGTCCTACCATGCTTCCATGGTACATCTGGCTAGATTAAGGTCTGCCAAACATCTAGGAAGAACCTTGGAGGAAGCTGAGTGGAAGCTGGAAGTGTCAGGGAGAGGGGAGGCCAAGAAATTCCAGGGCTCTCCTGCATACATCATTCTATGCTAGGTCCAACACTGTGAACCTAGAAGAGGGATGGGCAAGCTCCAGCATATGAATATATCTTCTCAGTGTAGAATATGATCTCATCTCCTGTATCCTGGAAAAACATGTCTTGTCCCCTCCAACATTAATGCCTCCTGCTGCTACTGTGGCCATTCTCCCATGCTATGTTCATAGATATGATAGAAGACAGCCACCCACATCCATGCCAATCATTTATGCCTAAGTTATCTCTTAGCTGCTCTCTGTCAAGCTAGACCATCACATGTAAACGGTTTCTCGGTTCACTATAGTTGAGTCTCTAGATATAATTCCAATCTCCCAATTATTTCCATAAGTGCCAAACTCGGGGAGCTCTCTGTTGTACTGAATACCAACATAGCATAGAGAACCTGAGCTTCATACCATTTTGGATCGGTTTAGTCACAGCCAACTCTGAAATTAGAAAAGACCTGAATCTGTAAAATGGGTGTACTGGAACATTAACCTACTGTCATCTTTGAGGAGACAGGCACCATTGTTTCTGATTCTGCCATTCTACATGAAAACAAGTGTACCTGGGCTTGGGGAGAGAAGGAATCTCTTGTGCAGTTTACTTATGATGTGGTGGGGGTGGTTGTGTGCCATGCAACACACACGCTGCCCTTGATTACGTTTCTAAGCAGGAGAACAACCTGTAACGTTTCATTCCTTGGTATCATCCTGGTACATCCACATTTTACAAAACTGTGTTTGTTCTTGTTTCACTTGGTGTGTCCATGACTGAACTGGGAAGCCCTGCTTAGAATACTGCAGTTAGACTGAACCCTAATAGCCCTGCTGACCCTCCAACCTCCGCTCCATTACTGTCTTCTTTCAGTCACACGAGCACACTTGGTTTCAGGCCAATTCTCTGAAAATCTTATCAAAGCATGTCTCCTTGGTTTTCTATCATAGCCATCTGTTCCCCCTCTTTCCGAGAATGTCTTTCAAGTTGTGATGATAAGATAAGCTTTGATTTGTGTACTTATATTTACTATAAACCTGAAACCAAGTCTGGTATGTAATTTGTTTAGGCAGAGAATCCTAGGTTAAGAATTCACCCCCAGCCCCACCCCCGAATTTTAAAGGCTTTGGTTCATTTCCTTCTAACTTTCAATGCTGTTGAAAAGTCTGATGTCATTCTGCTAGAATCCTGTGACCTACTTTTTTCTTCTTCCTGCCCCTTCACTCTGAAATATTCCCATTTTACCGTATCAGAGATTACATATCTAAAACATCTTAGCATTCAGACCAGATACACTATGAGTCTTCAGTCATCTCGTATACTGGTTACTCACTGAGCCTTTCCATCCGGAAATTCATGTCCTAGAGTTCGGGAGGAACAAATCACCTTTTGTTCATCTTTGACAGTTTCTCCTCCTGCCTTTCCACCCCCGCCTCCCCCCCCCATCACAAACTGGGTCTCCTAGATAGTTCCTGCCATCTTCACAGCTTCTTTTCATCTCTGTACTACTTTCCAAGAGACCTCCTTGGCTTTGTTTTCTAGTCATTTTATTTAACTTTCTGATACTACAATTTAGCCCCTTCCCCATTGTCCTTTCCCAATGCACACTGTTCTTTCATGAACGTACACGCTCTCCTCACTTAGTGACATGCTTTAGGTCCCAAAGCACATATCGAAAATGGATCATAATCATACTAGATCACAAAGTGGAGGATGACGACATGGTTATAGAATTTCCAGATAACATCATCACACAATTGCATAACTGCTAGAACCAAGCTGACTCACCACGTTTAGCACAACACTCCACAGTAGTCCTGCAGCAGACCTCAGCATTCCTTGCTGCCAGATCTATGCCATTAATGTGAAAAACAGTCCGTCGTGTTTTTTACTATTGTCTTAACTGTGAAATGTCAGCTAATGAGAAGGTGTCATTGTCATAGTTACAGTGTCTTTCTCTCTTATTAAATCTCTGAAACCATTAATTATGCTATGGCATGTGGAGACTGGAGCACAGGATAACTGTAAAGTTTAAGTAATTTCACTGAAAAATTTCCAAATGTCTGTATCTAAAAAAGTCCACTTAAGCCAATCAACTTTCCCAGAGAAGAATCCTTTAATCTCCTGTTAAGATAATATAAATGGGGCTATAAGAGTTCTGGAGTACTGGGTGTGGCACTGTAGGTTAAACACTGGATTGCAAGGTCAGTTTGAACCCAAGGTCAGCAGTCTAAAATCACCAGCTGCTCCTTGGAAACCCTATACAAGGTCGCTATGAGTTGGAATTGACTAGATGGCCCATAACAACAGTAACGTAAGAGTTCTGGGAGGCAAGCAGAGAAAGGATGTAGGGAGAGGGTGGGGTTTCACCACTCAGTTGGGTCCTGCTTTTAGGATGGTTCCCAAGCCTACCTTCTCTTTGATTTTACCTCGACTGAAAACAAACTGCCTAGTTTCTTCAGGAGTAGAAGAGGGGCAATCTTCCGGTTAGGGAGGCTGATAGGAGTCTACCTGGTCCTTGTAAAGGTTTTCCACCAAACCCGGCTTTCCCCCAATAATAGGAACTAGCAGATCTCATTCTTCAGCTTTCGTGGATCTTGTGACTCGACTCAGCACCAATCTTGTTGCAACCTGACTAGCTACCCTCCCCGCTGAATTCTTCCCTTTAGGGGTCTTGTCTCAGCTCCCCCTGGTTAGCTAAGTCACTTATGAGTTGAAATCTGTATCTGCTTGTCTTGTGTTCTTTGACACTCCCTTTTTAAGTTCCTTGCCATCATCATATAAATCTTAAGACATGCTATGATAAATGCACCAGTAGTTTAAACTGGAAGACTTATTTGACAATATTTGAAATTCCCAGTTTTGAATGGATGCCATGTTAGACTGATCTGCAGTTTTCTTTCCTGTTTTCAAGACATTTTGATAGCAGTACTCTGAATTTGTAAAAAAGAAAGAAAGAAAAAAAAAAGAATCTGAGTTTCTTTTTTTAAAAAAGTTCTGGAGCAGCAGGATACAGGAGGTATGGAAGAGTCCAATCAAGAAATTCTAGCTCTGGCCATTTGAGTTACTGGGTGGTACAAACTATTAATGTGCTCAAATAGAAAAGTTGAAGGTTTAAATCCATTCACAGGTGCCTTAAAATAGCATAATAAATCAATGGAACAACTGAAAATAAATTCTAACACTTTTACTCAGAACCCACAATCTACTTTAACCATGTTGTTGTTGTTAAGTGCCGGCGAGTCAGTTCTGATCCATAGCGACCCTGTATAGGGTTTCCAGGGAGAGGCTGGTGCCACACCAGGACTCCATTTATTATTGTTGAGTGCCATCGAGTCAGTTCCGACCCATAGTGACCCTGTTCCCAAGGAGCAGCCAGTGAGCTGAACCACCGACCTTGCAGTTCAAACAACTTTGCAGTCTGATCCATTAGCCCACAGCACTATACCAGAACTCCACAGAACTATGCTATTTCCTGCCCAAACAAAAATGAGTCTGGAAATAAAGTTCCCTATAAAAACACGGCAACACTGAAACAATATTTTCTTCTTTACCTTTTGAAGTCTAAAAATAAGGAGGTATATATTTTTATTTTCAATATTCTAAGTATGTATAAGGAGCTCTGGTAGCGCAGTGGTTACGAATCGGGCTGCAAACCGCAAGGTCAGCAGTTCGAAACTACCAGCTGTTCCACAGGAGAAAGATGAGGCTTTCTGCTCCTGTAAAGATTTGCAGCCTTGGAAACCCTGTACAGGGTCGCTATGAGTCGGAACTGACTCCATGGCACATAACTACAACAACAACAACAACAACAACAACAAGTATGTATAATCAAGGTGTCTTAGACTTAATTTACTACTCTGTATTACTTGACCAGATCTTGATCTAGGACACTGATCTGAATGAAGGTTGAGACTTTAAGACCAGGACTGTGATTCCCACTTTTGCACAGATGGCTAGCCTACTAAAAGTCAATAAAAGACAAGCACAGGAAAGAGGAAAGGAGTTCTGGTAGCGTAGTGGTTACGGATCGGGCTGTTAACTTCAAGGTCAGCAGTTCCAAACTACCAGCTGTTCCTCAAGAGAAAGATGAGGCTTTCTGCTCCCGTAAAGATCTGCAGCCTCGGAAACCCTGAGGAAGGTCATAAGAAAGAAATGAGCAGATTTTGTGGTGCTGTGAGTTTAC